GAAATGACGAAACTTTCTACTCATTTATGTCTCGGATTTTGTTTTGCTCCTGATGTTATGTGTAATCGTTTTATTACTTAGATGATATAATCGTATGTGTTATATATTTTTTATTATTTTTAGCGTTCTTGAGTTTAGATTGCTTTTCTTTCTGCATATATTCTGCACATTATATTTAGTGTAATTATTACTATTTCTTTTTACCTCCAATGCATTTCCACAGACAACAAAGTGTCATTCTGCTCTTGCGCCATTCTGTTAATTTTACTTACCATGACATCTTTCCTCATTTTCAACTTACTTTCCTCTTCCCATTTATTATTTTGTGTCGAAATTTTCATACGAACCTGTTTTCTTGCCGTTCATTTCCTCCCACGGAAAGTCTCTTTTCTAGTTCTCCCCTTCCTTCTCTTTTTTTCTTCCTCCTTTTTTTGCTTCCACGTGGTTCTCCTTCTTCAATCACGCCATCGCCTCTGTGACTACCGGATCCAAACCCAGCCACGGATTGCATATTAATTACTGATATTAAGCTCATTACTGTCTTCCTTTTGCGCGGCTTCGAGACGTTGCAATCGTCAGCTTCTGTTGCTCATGGTGCGCCGAGTAAGGGAGGGGGAGGGGTGGAGTAGGGGGATGCGTAGGGGTGAAGTGTGGTAAGGGAGATGTGGGGAAAAGGGTGCGAAAGGCGAGAGCTTTGTGAGGAAGGGAAGGGTGGCGAGGGAAGGGGTGGGGCGACGAGAGAAGGGTGAGCGAAGGCAGGGCGGTCAGGGTACACTCCGTCGTATGGACCGTGTCTCGGGTGAAGGTTGTTGAGATAGAACTCCTGTTATATGTTTCCCCGGTTATACCTCGCGTTCGTTGATATACCCGTGAAGTTGTGGCGCGGAGGATACGTGCGGTAATGATAACGGTGAAGGTGTTGCCGTGAGTGATGGTGAATGCTCCGGCGAGGAACAGCTGTGAGTATGATCCTTGCGGCGGTCATTGTGGTGACGAGTGTTGACAGTGGCGCACCGTGCAACATTTGTGGTCTCACTTCGATAAGTCTTTATGGTGTCGCGGTTTGTTCTCGATACAGAGAAATTGGCAAATGGCATAGATTATAGGAACCCCATGTAACAAAAATCAACAGTTTCGAATGGAAGTTCGCACAACGCGCCATTCTCCGCGGAGAAACAACAACAACCGCTGACCCGTATCACCAATACTGAAACCCGTTAAGCTACAATCAGTGACTGTTTCCCAGTAAATTATCTTGCTAAGTTTTTATGCCATCACCTCGGCTTTAAACCCCGATTTCCCCCTTCCTCCCTGACCCCACTGACCTTGCCGTACCCCCTCTAAGGCGCAACGACCAGTAAGTGAGAACCTCTCCGCCTCAGGTATTGGCTACGCGTCAGGTTGTCAGTCAGTTTCTCTAAGTCCCCCCTCGCCGCGGAGAAAATGAGAGCCCGGGATCCTCCTTTGAGTCAGGAGCCTTCAGGATTTCTTTTATCCTTGCTGATTGAGGGCGACTCGGAGACCCGGGGTTCACCAGAGGTTGCCGAAGCCACGAACGATAGATTCTGGTTTTCGTAGGTCATGGATCGCGCTCGGAATCGGCTCAGGAAGAAAAGAACTGCGGTTGAATATGTTTCCCACTCCTCGTCGGCGCTCGCTGTCTCCCAATGAAGATGAATCGATGGCCGTCCCCTTCCCGTGCTGAGCCGAACTTAATCATTTTCGAATCGTGCGATGCAGAAAGAAAGGGAAGCAAGGGCGGAAGGGCGGGGTCTCTGCTTACCTGAGACGGTTCAGAGGAAGTGAGTCGCTGGCGAGGGCTTGAAAGAAGGGGAAGGAGCCGGGGAAAAGAAAGGGATTTCGAATTGGTAACTCTTAATCAGAGTGACTTCGCCGCGTCGGTGTGCGAGGCAACTATGGGCGTCGTCTGTTTAACAAGTATCCACCAACCAATTTCCTCCTGGATTATGAGAACAGAAATATAACAAACCCCCTCGAGGCGTAAATACTAATGCCGACCCTCTCCCCCAAGAAGGAAATGGTAACGACAAGCATTAAAAGTGGGATAAAAAAGAGCATAAGAAGATAATGCACAAAAAGCGCCTTCCTCTGCGCCTCAGTCGGGAGCGATCAGCGGAGGACATCGCCGGGGTCTTCACGTTACGAGAATTATTGGTGATGGACCTCTTGCGTGCTCGGGTGAAGGAGTCAACTACCGGGGTGGGACTTGATGTTGCCTAAATTATTCTCGTGTGTCATTAGGCTTCACGGCAATCTCGGGCGTGCCTCGCCGTGGGTTGGCGCGCGCAGCCTGCAGCTTGTTTTGCTGATAGGGTGTTTGTTGCTCCGCTTGGCAAAGTGACGCGCTCGAAGAAGGCGTTATTCTCTGCCGTTTTTCTTTGTGTTGTTCTTCTCTTTAGCATTAAGGAAATGACACTCTTCCGGCGTTGGCCAATGGCCCTGGCCGGGGCGTTTGGGTGCCCTAACACTAAGTGTGCAGGTCTCCTGACAGGTACGCACAAGGACTCCAGCGGAGCTTTCCGGGGCCCCGATGACAGCGTGACGGAGGAGAGAATCCAGCATATCCTGACCGAGGCCTCCCGCGCCATGACCTCCTCGACGGCCACCAGCCAGGCGGGCCAGCAGGACCAGGACTCCCGAAGCACGGACTCCAAGTCTCCCGCCAGCTCCACGCACTCCCCCAGGTGAGGACTTCCGCTGACGAATTTGTGTGAGGGATTATACTTAGGCTCGAGTAGATGGGCGGCTTTTCATGCCGCGATTCTAGGTGTCGCATTTGAAGAAGAATTAATTAGTGAAATTAAGCATTTTATTTTTTCAATCTGTGTTGAATGGAAACACGGAATTCATTAAGAAAAAAAAAGCCTAATTCCAAATGCCATTTAATTTCTCTGAGGCTTCGTGTTAACGTTCCAACATTCGTCCTCCTTCAGTAGCCCGCTGTCCCGGGGAGATTCGCGGTCGCGAATCCGCAAATACGACAACGACGACATCCCGCAAGAGAAGGTGGCAAGAATCTACCAGGAGGAACTTGTCAAGCTCATGTCAAGGCCTCAGGAGCCCCAACTTCCGCTCCCGCGAGACCCCCAGTACCCGGGGATCCTGTTCCCCTTCCTGGGCCAGTCGCTGCTGTTCAACAGATCCCACGAGGAGGTGAAGCTCGCCCTCGACGCCTACCACCAGGAGCTGAGCAAGCTTCAGGGAAATGCTGCCGTCACAGGCATGGGCCTCGGCGCGGTTGGTGAGTAAAGCACCCACGCGATGACGTTTTTAAATCATCATTACACTCTATAATAATTCCTTCTCACAGACATGCTAAGAAATAAACCAGCAATTCTCATTACGGATATCTCTGCCCAATCAACCACAGGCCTGGGCATGGGCGGCGGCGGAGGCCTCGGCGTAGGCGTCGGAGGACCATCACTAGGCATGGGCGTGGGACTCGGTGCGGGCGGCCTTCACAACGGCGCCCAAGACCTGACGATGCCCAAGCGCGAGCAGCGGAACGGAGACGAGGAGGAGGAGGGACGCAACCCGAGCGTCACCTCCCCCTTCGGACCCAGCAGATCCAAGGCCGAAACCAGTGAGTACCTCCTCGCCACGCAGTTCTGAGAGAGAGAGAGAGAGAGAGAGAGAGAGAGAGAGAGAGAGAGAGAGAGAGAGAGAGAGAGAAGAGAGAGAGAGAGAGAGAGAGAGAGAGAGAGAGAGAGAGAGAGGCGTGAAATCCACAAAACAGTTCAAACAACCATATAAGCGTATTAAGGGATGTAAAACTGTCAAGTCACCATATGGCGCTGTGTAAGTAATCAAACCATGTCGATGTTGACACGCACATATAATGTATGTATGTGTGTGTGTGTGTGTGTGTGTGTGTGTGTGTGTGTGTGTGTGTGTGTGTGTGTGTGTGTGTGTGTGTGTGTGTGTGTGTGTGTGTATGTGTGTGTGTTAGTATAAAATAATCATCTGTATCACTACATCATCTACATATCACAACGCTTTTTCACACACACGCATGAAGAGAATTTCCCGATGTCTTGTATGTTTAATAATGTAAAAAAAAAAAATGCATGTGAATATAAGAGAAAGATTTATATTTATTATTCATTAACACCTGACACTCTTAGCCTGTCTAAAATCACCTTCCTGGTACCATATGGCGCCGTTATTCACTTGGCAACTCTTGTTATTTTCTCTGCTGTTCTGATATCGTTTTCCCTTACATTTTTATTTAGAAATATTATAAGAATTTAGCATTTTACTTGGGGAGGCTTAAGGCATCTTGCTGCCACCACGTCAGAAGACTCAAATGTACCACTTTCTCTGATCACTGGTTGGTCGACTATGCCCGCTCTGTCATAATAGATCACTGCTTAGCCCCCTATTCATTATGCTGCCGCCCACATCACTCAATATCAAGTTGCAATCCGTTAGCATCACCTTTGCATTGTTGCTGATCGGATATGCCAGCAAATTATGAAAATGGATGTCCGCCCGACCAATTTTTTCACGTAGCCATTTTCTTTGGAGAGAGAGAGAAGAAGAAGAAAAAGAAATAAGAATTTGTAGATTATCCGGTACGATAGGGAAGGTATAAGTTTAGTGTAAATAATTTTTTCGGTCGTCATTTGTTTTGTTTTTTATGCGCGTTGCTTGGTTGTTTACTCAGCGGTGCTAAAGATTTCGTTGTGATGGCGATTACGATCTAAAGTGAGATATCGTCTGCCATTTCCTATAAACATGATTATAATCTTTCTTTATTATTATTACTATCATTGTTATTCCTCTTTCTTGTTATGTTTTATCGTTATCATCTAGGATAGCATATCAGACTGTAATTGTCTCGGTAGACGCTAACGAAACAAGCAAACAAGTAAAAAAGACGAGACAAAATAGTGAAAATGTGCAATGGCAGGAAATCCTTTGTTATAAGTCCATAAAACAGTTATCATCATCAATAACAGTAAAATGACGTATCAAGACCCCGTATAGTTATCTGCGCAGACACTATAATCTCAGACTTCCTCTCTATTACTCACATAAATGGGATAAAGAAAATAAATGAAACGCGGTTCAGAACCTAGGGATGTTTTATGCATTATTTCCTTGCAACATTATTCCATCATCAAATTACTGATGAGAATATAGTTATTTTAGACCTCCTGCCTACAATAAATCTACGGCGTTTGTTTACATACTTCGAATCATGTGTCAAAGCTTGCCCGCGGTTGAGGAGTTAGATAAAGGAGTTAGATAAAAGTCTAAACTAATATAAGCATTTTGATTCCCCTCTGTGACGTTGATTTGTACGATCAGATCCGGTTTCCTGTACAAGAGTGTTATAAATCTTCGAGATGCCTAAACCTTTCACACTCCTCGACTCAACAAGTAGCTACGGTACTTATCTTCCTATCATATTTCGTCGAAAATAGAAGAAAAAAGCAAGAAGCAGAAAAGAAAAAGGGGAAATAATGCGATGGATAAAGATTGCTGGAGATAGAAATAGGATTTCAATAGTATGAAGTCTATTTGTGACCCACTCAATGGGCGTGTCGCATGCGAGGCAGTCCGGACCGGGACCTAGGACCTATTTTAGTCGTATTTCTCCGAAATCGAGATTTTAAACTTAACCTAGATTAAAATCTGCTTCCACACACGGAGGCTATGTGGCTGTGCGTCTTCCAATAGCATCAGACGTCAACTAAGGCATGAATTCTTTTGTCATATCAACATTTTGACAAACGATATATACATTGGCTTCTAGAATTCAGTCTCGTTTCTACGAAGGCGAAAATCGATCACGATATCTAATGTGTATATTTACTTTGAAGCTTTAGATGGACATCTTGAATATTCAAATCATGACGTCACGATTTCCTGACCGCTGAAAAAATAAGTCCTTAAAAACGACGTTATTTCTACGAACGCGAATAATTTGTATAACTCGCTGTTCCGATGGAGTCCCACGCCGGTCTCCTTGACGGGGCTGTCAGGCACTCCTATCGTCTTTCTCGCGTAATGTGAAGCTATCGCCGTGAGAGAGAGAGAGAGAGAGAGAGAGAGAGAGAGAGAGAGAGAGAGAGAGAGAGAGAGAGAGAGAGAGAGAGAGAGAGAGAGAGAGAGAGAGAGAGAGAGAGAGAGAGATGGACACACACACACACACACACACACACACACACACACACACACACACACACACACTCACACACACACACACACACACACACACACACACACACACACACACACACACACACACACACACACACACACACACACACACACACACATACAGAGAGACAGAGACAGACAGAGAGAGAGACAGAGAGACAGGCATAGAAGCGTAAGAGCTGTTGGCCAATTAGAAGACTTTTTAAAATCGGAATTCATGTCATCTCATATTGAACTTCAAGGTGGAAGATCAAGCGAGTGTAGCGTTCATCTTTCAAGGTGACAGCAGTGATCTATGGGTACATAAATGTCAGCCATCTTTGATCCTTTTCCAATAGGTGTCATGCCGTATCGTCTACTCTGATTTTGCAATTAAAGGAGATAAATAAACAAGTAAAAAAAAAAAAAAGGTGAAAAAATGACGAACTGGCGCAAGATACAGGAGTCCCTTGTATCAAAATTGGTCATTATGATTTAGTGCCAAATCTACATTTTCCCGGATTATTTTATTTTTGTCTTTCATCCACTTTCTTCGTGATTATGACGAACTTCATTCCTATGCATTTATTAATTAAGTACAATTTATAGACTGGCGTGAATTCTAAGCACTTGAATCAGGTGGATTTCCTGAGAGGTGGATGATAAAATGTGAATTTGCCGAGCATCTGGCAACCCCGCGGCCGTAACTCTTTATTGCTTATTTGCATAACTGATTCACTTGTTTGTCTGTTCCAGTTCATCCCATTCTGTCTTGTTTTGTGTCGCCGTTCTAATTTATTAAGCGCATATGTGCTTGCTTCACTAAATTATTTGCGGCATATATATGTGAATGCACGAGGTTCGGTTTTACGTGTCGACCTCGAAGGCGAGAAAGATGTAAAATACGAAGCACATTACGAAGCGAGGAAGTGAAAAAGACGCCACTAAACCGGTTGAATTTCGATCCAAAAAATGCGTCGGATGGAATATTTTATTTGCGAATTATTCACTAGTTAGCTTTTTATTCTTTCTTGGGTAGTAATGGACTCCTCCACAATAATTTCCCCCAACAACTGGCGGCAGCAGATGCAAGTGAACAAATGATATAATGAACCCTATTTTGCAGTCTGCTGGTCTAAAAATACGCTTACAAGCCACAGACGAAGTGCTATATCATATGGAGAAATGTGCATTTGAAATTGAGTATAACAAGATTAAGTTGGTCAGTTAATATCGTTGTTAAAACTTGATAAAATAATTATGACTTTCAGCTCCCATGAATTATTGACAATTTCAGAGGCGAGGGACTTCGGTGTTACCAGCTAGCTCGTAATTCTAGCTTGCTTGTCGGGGTTCAGCTTCAGTATCATATGGGTAAAATCCGGTTTGTGTGACATCAGTATAAGCAACTCGATGCTGACCTCATCCTTCTCCCCAGTGTCAGTAAATATATCATCTCCGTTTGGTGAAAAAACGCGCGGGCAGATGGCAGCACTTGGTGTCTGGTGGCAACTTACGGTTTTTGCAATTTCCTGGAATTTTAAGGGGACCATTTTGTCATATTGCTTGGTCTTGTTTTGTTTGCTATTTGCATTTATGCGCAAGAGCCATTTGCCTCTTTCCCCTTGCATATATGTATTTTGATCGGGAGTTTGTCTTGATTTAAGAGACGCGCGGGACATGTCAAGTTTCAATAAGTAGACCGTATACAAACATCACCCGCAATAAACAGAGTTTTACGATAACGTCCAACCCGCGTCGATACGGACCTCAGAGCATCAATAACCACAAGGAGATTGATCAAGCAGAATTCCTTATTAGCCAAAGCGTTTCCAAAGAGCAGCACAATGGGGAGAGCGAAGGTCAGAGAGAGGGCGGGTGTAAATCATGCCCAATTAAGAGAATCTTGGATTGTTTATGCAGCTGTGCCACATACTGTTCCTATCGCCGGATCAAGATGTCGGGGGATAAAAAAAAGTCGGGTTCGGTAATGATGTAGAGCGTCTTAGGGTATGTAAGGTAAAGAACGAACGCACATATAAGATACGTAGTCATTTTTGTTTTCCTCGAGGGAGATCTCTGTCATTTTTTTTTTTTTTCACCCATAAATATATTAGAGTAAATTCGGGTCGATGGCTTTGTTTGTCTTTTTTTCTTCTTCTTTTTTCTTCTTTTTTCAATCGGCTAAACAGAGCAGCGGATCAGAATCATTATCAGAGTATGTAATTACACTATATTACGACGAGAGAGAGCACAGAAAGCCGAGCGTTGCCAAGTCATACCATTTTTTTTTTCGTGTTCTTTTTTTTTGTACGATTCTCACACCATTCCCTGCGGATAAAAATGATAACACCGCCATTTCCTTATCTCATGCGATCCCCATTAGGACGCAGCACACCCTCATTCTCTCACTTCTTGTCGCGTCTCTTTCCCCACCGCCATCGTGGACAGATTTAAGAGCATGGGACCTCTTTTTTCATATTTACATCTCTCACCTCCCCATTGCTGATGAGTTCTGTTCAGAGCGAGGTCACGGGTCAGTCCGCCCGACTCCCTCGCCCCTTCATAGCACAACCTAGCAACCACTCGAGCCATTCACTCACTCCCTCGAGATGCAAGAGACCGCTCGCTCGCATGAGGGCCAATCGAGCACCCACGGCGAAGCTTCTCCACTAATCTCAGTCTTCTGAATTGTGGTCTTGTCTTCATATATGGGATTTCTCTTGCCCCCCCCCCCCTCTCTCTCTCTCTCTCTCTCTCTCTCTCTCTCTCTCTCTCTCTCTCTCTCTCTCTCTCTCTCTCTCTCTCTCTCTCTCTCTCTCTCTCGTCCCCGGTTCCTATCACCACTCCTTGTGTGATTCACCTTTCCCTCCGTCTCCGCAAAAGCATTCTCTCCTGTGTTTAGACACCTTGGCACTCCTCGAGTACACGCAAGGATCCGTGTTGACTCTCGACCCCGCTGTGTACGCAATCACGCACCTCCATTCCACTCCATTCCATCCACAGATCTCAGCTCGGCCACCACGCCTCTGAGCAACCTTGTAACTCCCATCACCTCCATCGCAGCGACCAGTGGGGACGACCTCAGCGTGTCGGCGTCGCCCCTTCAGCGCATGGCGTCCATCACCAACTCGCTCATGACGGGGCCGCCCATCTCCACCGGCTCGCCCCTGACTCAGAAGCCCCTGAAGGCCGTCCTGCCGCCCATCACGCAGCAGCAGTTCGACCAGTACAGCAACATGAACACGGAAGAGATCGTCAAGAAGGTAAGCGAACGCCCTTGTGTTTGTATTGGTATGTGGGTAGTGTGTTTGTGGTGTTTGTGTATGGTTAGAAGTACCGACGCGAGGGCTTCGAAAATGGTATTTTATGTTGACGAACTCTATCGAAAGAGAGCGGCGTGCATTCAGAATATAATGCTCCCCTTGGGTCAGTATTTCATTGTTGTTTCCGTTTCTTCTAACTCATTATGTTGTGCGAGCGTAGTGGCTGAAAAATATTCCACTAGACCATTACGTTTGAGGAAGTAGCACAAACTTTCCCCGAGATTATTAGCAAGTCAGTGTTATTGCCATTAGTGTCGGCATTACGGACGGATACACGCAAATCACAAAGTCAGCATTAATACGATTTTTTTGGCCCATCCCCGTAATGCAGCTTACCTCAGCAACATCTGATATTTAGTTAATAACGATATTCACAGACGATGGAGCTCTAAAATCGCTTGGATCCTCACGCATCCATTACCGAGCTAAACATAGCAAACGTACACCCAAACTATCCAATTTCACGACAAGAATTCAGATTTAGTACATCCGACGGACTTTTTTAAAGACCCTGCCTCACCGGAACAAGTCGCGAGTAAAAAGCGCGGCTCTCAACCCTTCTTCAGCGCCTCCATCAGCGTCCAAATGGGCTTCCGCGCGGCCGTAATCAGCCCATCGTATCGGTAACCACGGACAATGTACCTATACTCAGGAACCAGTCGTTGGCTGCAGGTACACTCGGAGAAGAATCCGTGAATCCTGTAAATGCGTGTTTTTTGGCGTCTCTCTTCTTTTTTATATAGCTTTTTCTTTGTTCTTTTTTGTTTCGTTTCCCGCCAACCTTAATGGTAAGGAGCCCGCTTTTTTTTTCTTTCTTTAACTATTCACCGAGTCCGCCGTCCCCCTGCGTTTCACTGGCATTCATTTAATTGGCATTCGTCAACTTCAAGACGCGGGGGTTGATTAAGGTTAATTGTGCGGCCGAAAAGACGTTTATGGGGAAAGTTAACGATGCAGAGACGGGTCGAGTGACTGATTCATTGCTGATTGATTGGTTACGTATGGGCCGAGAAATTAGCACTTTTATCTCCCCTCGGGATCGGCTGCTTTATTATCGTTTCCCTGTTCATTTTATTATCTTTTAATTATTCATCTCGTTCTTCCGTGTGCTGGATACCTTTCAAGATGGTATGATCGGCATTGGAATTTGCATAGATATGCGGACGATTCTACAGAACGCTAAATCAGATGAACGAAATGGTCTCCGCGATAATGAAGTCTACCGTTGATAAGTACGATTCGCAGAGTAACGACGACGACTCCGGACTTGAAAAACGGACGAAATCCACTGACAAAGCCTCGCGAATACCAAGAACTCCCCGAATCACTCCGCACTCCAACGGACGGCGCTTGATGGTAATTCTTGCCATAAATACCGAATCCGTCCGGGAAAGAGCGGACGGCTTCTTTCCTTCCCCAGTTTTCCGCGCGATGGGATCAGGGTTGTCGTTAACCGCAGTCCCCGCCCGCCTGAAGGCCGCCCCCGGGGGAACTTCTCAGGTTACCGTGCCAGCAAGAGTGGTGTAATTCCCGAAAGGACATATGCAAATCCTTCTCCTCGGTGCATTGACAAACAAGCTTGCTGACTCATGCAAGCACACATGACACATGCGTAAAATGGTGTACACGCACACACAGTTATACACAAAACATGGTAAGTTAATCAATTGGGCTTGTGTGTGTGTGTGTGTGAGTGTGTGCACTTGGCTATTTGTTGATCTAAGACTGAGGCAATGAGAAGACGTGGAGGCGCCGTTCTGAATTATTATTATTATTGTTATTTTTTTCCACTTTGTTCGATCGCATATATGGCTTTTTTATGAGTTTTTTTTATAAGGCTTGGTGTTGGGGGGGAAATAGATTTTAGGCGACAAAAACAATAGACAAACAAGAGAGCAAGGCTTGAACGACACGTCGGGGGAAAAAGTGTGAGATGTAGAAGTCTAGGAGGCAGCTATAAACAAACAAGTGCAGACAATTTAATGCCGGGCCGTTTCTTATCATACGCCTTAGTTTACGGCGGAGAACATTTAAATGGATGGAAGAACAAGAACGTCTTTTCAACAGCACTTCCTTGTCACGTTGCTGCGGACCGCCTCCCCCCCCCCAAAAAAAAAAAAAAAAAAAAAAAAAATCGGTAGCGCCCGCGTGCAGCAAATTCCTTTACTCGCTGTGGTAAACATTACATATATTTGCATACTTCCTCGACCTTCGAATCGCACGTCAAAGAAAAGATTTTATGTACGTACAAAATGCGGACGTGGCAAAATCATGTGAAAACCATTTGGCAAAATTACCCAGCTCCTCTTTAGGCCTTTATAAGAAAGAGATAGAGAAAAAAAAGATGAAAACGGGCGCCAGCCAAAATATCAAGCACGCAATTAACTATCAGCTTTAAATATCAAACATTTGTGCCGGCCAGACCTTGCCAATATTTGCATAGTTTCCCTCTCCCCAGGTGGTTTAAATTAACGGCAAGTTCACGACACGCTGACAACACTATCCCGCAACTGTGAAAAAACGCGACAAACTTGTGCGGGTCGGACGTCTGTCGAATCGCGCACTTTAACGCTTGCGGGTGGTCTAATCGGCCCCGAAGCTTGCCCTTAATTAGTACTGGCCTGTTGATGGCGGTGATTTATTTACGTTCGCCTCTGCTTTTTTGCGGCGCGGCTTTTGAAAGTATTTGTTTGATTTAGTTAGGCTAATGTCGGCCATTCCCTGTGATTGCCGCCGCCTGATTTATAAGCGCGGGAAGGTCATCTACAGTCTTCGTCGCCGCGCCAGTCATCGGGAACGTGCGAGATCCCCGCCATATTTCGGGGTCGCCGGGCCATAATCAGTGACATAAGATATTGATTACTGACTCAGAAGATCAAAAGAATCGAGAATCAAAGGCCCGACCCTCAGTAAATCAAGGCATAAAACAACCAAAAAACGCGCCGGCTTGAGAAACCATTCGGCAGTTGCGCCAATATATCAGCCGCAGCTCGTGATAGGAAAGGCAAATGGAGAGAGATTGGGGGGCGGCGGAGAGAGAGGAGAAAGATGGGGAAAAAGAGATAGAAGAAGAAAAGCAGGAGGAGGGACAGAATGGTGATGAGAAAGGAAGTGGCGTAGGAGGTGGAATGGAAATTATCGCAAATAAGATGTAGGAAATGCTTATCCAATTGTTGCGGTAATGTTTAAATGGCTATAATTACAACAAGGAGGAGAGCCAGGCTTCACCCACCTAACGAATTTACCTGCCCACCACACGGGGCTCATTAGCAGCGAGGCCCCGGTTATAAACACAGGTAACTCTTGGCGAGGCTGCCTATCACTGGCCGGGAAGATAACGCTGCTGCTCTTTGCCGCCGCTTCCCGGGTTACGTGGCCCTCTGGGGGCGCCCGGGGCTCGTGCGGGGAATTGGTAGTGGTTGATAGATACGCGGATACATATATGTGCATGTGTGTGTATGTGTGTATTTATGTATTATCTGTCTATCAATCTATATATCTATCTATCTATATATGTATATATATATTGCATATATACGTTTACATCTGTTAGTTTTCCTAAATGCAATGGCTAAATCCAGGAGGATGAATACTCGCTTCAGTCCACCTTGTCTGCCTGGCATATGTGGGTATTCTCATTAGTGCTAAACGAAGGTTCTCCTCACACTAGGAGAAGCAGGAATGTCAGATTAAAGAGATTATTTAATTAAAACGGTACTGAAGCACAACATTGAGTTGCAGACGCGATGGTCATCCTGCAGCGGGCTTTGGAGCGACGTCGTCTCCGCGCCCCAAGTAATGCTTCCTGCTTTTCGCTCTGTAATTCCCAGAATTTTGATTGTTTAGATATATGGTTAGAATTTTATAAATTAATCCCATCATTGGACACGCTACACGCACTTGATGAATCTCGGAGTAACATTATGTTAATCAATAAAGGGAGTGATTATCATCCCAACATAATGTTCACGACCTATAAACGATTAAGGCTAATTAATGCAATCCAAACCTTAAAGCGCATGTAAATAAGGGCCGTAACTCCGTGGCATTTAATCTGATGGCCGGGACGAGACGCGGGAACCCTCGCAAGATGCCATGCATGCTTACCGGATGTGCGATCAAAACCCCCAATGACAAGTGACGAGGAATTATGAGCCGTGTGTAATTAGAGCCCAAGTCATATTATAGCCTGACAAATTTTATGGTGGCATACGTCCCTTTACTTTGACGGAGTACGGGGAGGGGGAAGGAGCAGGGGGGGTGGGAAGGGGGCGCATAGGGCGAGATGTAACACCCCCTGTAAACCACGTGTAGATAGGGGATAGGGAGGGGGAAAGGGGAGGAGGCTGGTTGGGAAAGGGCGCGACGTGGTTTTGCTCGAGTGTGCGCCGCTTCCGTTGCTCGAATTGCAGTGGTAGACGGCAAGGGAATGCACAGGCAGCAGATGCCACCCTTGCAGCTGATCTGAGTTTTATGGTCCGAATATAACAGTAATTTCGGGTCACTCTTATAGAAGCTCGAAATGTCCCAAAGAAGTGCTTGTTATTATTCCTTAACGTCTGTTCAGTAGTTTCAACGGTTTCGTGTAAATGCTGCCGCGGTTCTTTCAATATCATGTTGATTAACCATTTTATAAAGAAATTTGATTATTAATTCCTATCTATCGGATCACATTAAGCTCTTTAAATAAGCGTTCGAATCCGATTAGCCAGCCTCACACTTTTTTTCTTTTTTTTTTCTTTCCAACTTTATCTCGTTTTATTCACATATTTATTCACGCTTTTATTCCCATGTCTCCCGCCCACTAAGTCGTTGACTGGTTTCCTCGACACAAGTGAGTCAAGCGTGTGTCATTTACCCTCCTGAAGATGAGAATAAATCTTCCTATCATGGCTCGTTTTTTTCCAATCACCGCATCCGGATTAGTCGTCGGTCCGAGGATTACTCACTCACTCGCTTCGCCTTTACTCACCAGAAATCTTATTGGACCTCGCTCTTACTCATTTCCTCTCGAGATAGCCAGCATTGGGAGTCAACTGCAATTAGGCATTTTTAAAGATTTTTTCGTTTTATTCTCCTGTGTGTGTGTGTGTGTGTGGGTTTAAAGGGTGATTCGATACGAGTTTGTATTTTTGAAGGGGATTTGATTCGAGTTGGGTAGAGGATTTGACCAATATTCTTTTCTTTATTTTCAGGTGAAAGAACAGCTGAGCCAGTACAGCATCTCGCAGCGGCTGTTCGGGGAGTCGGTTCTCGGGCTGTCCCAGGGCTCCGTCTCCGACCTCCTGGCTAGACCCAAACCATGGCACATGTTGACACAGAAGGTAAGAGCACAGCGCCATCATTTTACCATTCTCTCATTTTATTCCATTATTCTATCCCCTCTTCCATTTATTATATATCATCTTATTCCATTACTCTATCGCTTCCCTTCCACGCAAAGGAAAAAAAATATTCATATGTTTTTGTTTTATTCTGCACTTCCCACATTAATTAATCATCCAAT